ACTCGTCCGGCGACCCCCCTCGGGACCTGTCACGTCTTTATTTAGTCCCTGTCCTCTTTTCGTTCACAGTTTTTTTCTTTTTCTTGATTGTGTACACGTAGAAGACGGCAGGAAGAGGCCAGGGGCGCCATCATTACATCGTCCGGGCCTGTGTTTAATGAGACAGGGATGTCGGGGATGCCAGGTGCGAAGTGACAGCCTCAAAGATGTCCGCCGGAGCTACGTCTCCCCAGACACATGCTAATGCTAATGCTAATGTGGGAGACAGGCCTTTGTTTTTGGCGTGCGGTGTCCCATACAGGCTGTGTTTCATCACGGACTGAGCGTGTGTGATATGTTTCTCTCCATCGCAATTAAAAAGTTGGTTTGGATTTGGTGAGTGTGGAGCTACTCTAGAGTAAGGCTCTACTCTACCATTATCTTACTCTACCATCCTCTACTCTGCTCTACTTTTATTATTGAAGGTGAAAACATATTTTATATGTATTGGGTTCTTCTATACCAGACAATATAAGGTTTTGTGATGTTATTACCTTGACATGTTTTTCGACGGATAACTTCTGTCTTCCTCAGAAGCGTCTCGTGACGTCTCACATGACGTGCGTTTATCAGCTGCTGTTCCCAGGCGCAGTCAACCCAGCTAACCTATGTGGTTTACCCATGGATCTATTATAATAACTGGATAGGGTATTACTAGCTTGTAGCTGAATAACTCACGTGCTCAGGGGATTCTCGCGGTACTGCAGACTGAACCAGACTAAATTCACGTGGGCTACCCAGAAATTTTCCCCATAGAACTCAATGCATATTAAAACAGCTCAACCTCAGCTGACAGAGAACCTACAGATTTCATAAAGGTCGGATTTTGTGGGGATTTTAGTGTCCCTTGTCATCCTGAACTTTTTTTCTTCTTAAATCCTTCGGTTTTGTTTAAATCCACACTTTAGTGCCACAAACTCTGCTCCTCTGGCTCTCGCTCTAACTCCCGCTCTGATGAACTGCTCTGATTGGTCAGAGCGCGGCCGAGCCCCTCTGTGCACGTGCGTGAGACCCGGTGTGAAACCCTCACACACGTGTTTGGCGCAACGCATTATGGGAGATCATCCACTGCACAGAACCGGGAGGACCAGACGATGCCCAAATACAGGCGAGTTTCCCATAGATCTTTGCGAGTTTGAGGCAACTTCCGCTAAACTTTCAGCCCCCATGCCGTCACAAAGCGCCACTGAGCACAACCATTCATTTGAATAGGGCGCCATCTTGGATCGCCGGGGCTTGGGTTTACCGGGCTGACTGCGCCCTCTGCTGGCCAGTGGTGGTCGCTAGAGAAGTGGATCCAATGTACGGGAGAGTTGGTACGCGCCCTCGTCGCGATTCATAATGTCATGCTCTCCGTTTACGGATTTCTATTGCTTCTTTGATCTGTTTATATTTGTTGCGTTCTTGCTTTATGATTCTTTTCCCAGTCAAAGAAGCAATAGAAATCCGGAAACAGGGCGCTGACATTATGAATCGCGACAAGTGCGATGAAGAAGACAAGATGAATCTTCCTAAACTATATTTTATGTGTATTTAATAATACAAGGAGGGACTACTCACAAATACAACATACAATATTAAGACAGTTCCATTCAATTCAATTCAATTTAGTAGATGTAAGTCATCTTTAAAATTGTTGTGGGCATTTGTTCCTCACTCCGCACAGAGATGGGAGTGAGGTCGCCAGCACTGGAGGGGCGCATGCCAGACCTACTGTACATGTTTTTAGTGGTCGGGAAACCGGAGTACCCGGAGGAAACCGACGCAGACACGGAGAGGACATACAAACTCCATTCAGAAAGACCCGGGATTTGGAGAAGCGAGAGTGTTATCCACTCAGCCATCATGTAGTTATCCCAGAGGACTTTACACGTTTGTCAATTTGCCAACACAGATCAGAGAATCAAACAGGTACTTAGCTTTTCCTTATAAAAAATGAAGACCCTAAAGCCACTAATGCGACATTTCTCTCCCATCTTACATCGTTTCGCTTACTAACCCCAATAAATCCATCTAGTTTGAAAAGCAGTCTTGTCATTTTCTATCACTGCTTGGACCTGAACTCAAGCTGTAAAATCAAAAAGCAGCCGTCAAAACATAGCTAATTATCTCTGGCTCACGTTCATTCACCTACCGCACCGGCAGCCAGCGCCCCCCGCAGGGCAAATATTAATTGTCCGCCCCTCAGTCGAGACTTTACAAGAGGAGAAACCTGCTCGGAGCTTTTAATCTCGGAGACTAGTGGGTTCTGTCCCCCGATGTACAAAGGTGTGTGTTGTTATTATATTGTCAGTTTAATTAGACCTGGGGTGAGAGAGAGAAACCTTAACTCCCTGTCCTCTCCTTCCGGTTGTTAAATGCCAAATCAGCTCCACGGCTCTTCATCAGGCAGTCAGCACAAACATGGGGGGAAGAGAGGGGGGTTTGATGGGGAGAGAGAGAGGGGGGAGAGAGATGGCTCCAATTGAACGATTTGTAATAATGTCGTAGCGCTCCGTCGGGTGCGCTAGCTCGACAACACACACACACACACACACACACACACTGATTAAGATTAAGGAATTGTGATTTGAAAATGGCCAAACAATGTGTGTGTTAGTGCCGTTAATAAGCAGTTTTTAACATTAACTTTTGATTTGGTCTGTGTTTCTATGTAGCCCTAAATCACTAAAGCGTAATTTGTCTCGGAAGTGTTCACAAAATTGTTATTTCGCCAACAATAGAAGGCCTTTGTGTTAATATGTGGTGCAATTGATTGTTGTTTTCCTGGTTCTCGTTCTTGTCTGTAGAGGTGAACCTTTTATAGAGTGGGTTATTGGGGGTATGTTTCCTGGACATAAACACAAAACAAAATCACAGTTGTCAAGTGAATTTCCCAGAGCCATCTTCCCTGAAAAATGGTTTGTTTTTCAACAGATTTGACAAAAGTTTGGTTTTCTTAATTCTAACCCACTTTTAATTAGTGTGAAAACTGGTGAATATAACTTGAAATACAGCTAAATCAGTTTGTGGATTTAGGCTAATGCTAAAGACCTAATGTTGCTGACAGTAAACAGTGTGCTGCTGTGGTTACCAGCACCCGCTCCTCTCTGGTGGAAAACCAGGCTAAACCAGTCCAAAACCCGTCCAGGATCAGTCCAGGACCAGTCTAGGAATAGTCGAGTATCAGCAGCTTGAAATAAGTGCTTTTAATGCCATAAAAAGAAAGAAAATAACTGAAAATGGCTTTGTTGAATTGTAGTTAGAACTCCTCACATTTCAAAAATATATAATAATGACACAGAAATAATCAACACATAGAAAAGTTGACCACAAATGTACGAGTTAAGATACACAAACACTTAAATCTTACTTTTATTCCATACAACTTTTATCGCCTTTAGTAAAAAACAAGGTTACGACTCAATTTGAGGCAAAGATTGTGGGAGGAGGAACGGCCAAGATGCTTCTATTCTACATTCTTTGCGTGTGCCGGAGGCTGCTGCCGAGGAGAACCAGAGATCCTTCTTCAAACAGGCAGCAGTCGGCTCGGCCCTGCCCACAGACACTGAGGCGTGGGCAGGGGAGGTGAGGCCGGGATCTCCCCCCGTGTTAGTGGATCTGCCGCGGGCTTCCTTTGATGCTCTGCTCTCCTCTCTGTGCTCCGGTCCCAGGACACAGGAGGTGGCTGCCAACACAGAACACTATAATATCCCTGGTCTCTCAGTGGGAGGTCCAGGCTGTTTGGAGAGAGGAGAAAACGGGATTTAAAAGTGTGATTTTTTTGGAAATGGTTTGTACATGAGCTGCAAGTGGAAGTCCGATCTAGTAGTAGAAATAGTAAGATGAGATAAGACAAACAATAAACAAGATAAGACCGACTTTTCAAACCTGTGTTAGTGTAAATATGTGAAATTGTGTTCTACAGGTTTTAAATCAAATCAAAATAACTAACTTTATTAAATCTCACAATGGATACATTTATAACAATAAGATACAGAATCAAAACAAGACACAAAATAAACAGAAATAACCCATTTGAAAAAGAGGCTGGACGAAGATTAAGGTTAAGAGATGCTTTTTTTGTCCCACGGTGGGGAAATTCCAGTGTTGCATCGCCCGTTACAGATCAGTAGGAGTGAGGAGCACACAGCACAAGATAAATTCTATTAAATAATAATAAACCTCTAAGTTTAGCAGAAAAAGAAGCGGAAGACGTGTCATACCTGCAGGTGAAAGCCAGATCCCCTCAGACCTCTGAAGCTAAGCAGGGCAGGGCCTGGTTAGTACTGTGATGGGAGACCTCTGGAACTCCACGTGCCACAGTGGGGCGGCTGTGGTTGTGTTCTGAGGCGAGACACTTCATTCACATTAGAATGAGTCCGGTGTGTGTGTGAATGATCGGTGGTGGTCGGAGGGGCCGATGGCATATGTTAGTTGCCTCTGTCAGTGTGTCCCAGGGCAGCTGTGGCTACACTAGTAGTTTATCACCACAGTGTATGGAGTGAAAGAATAATTACATGTGAAGCGTCTTTGAATGTCCAAGAAAGCTCTCTAGACTTACTTAGACAGACTTTATTGATCCACAGGGAAATTGCGTTGTCACAGTAGCTTGCATATGTATTCCACAATAAATAACATTAAAGTAACAATCTGAAAATAAGAATAATACCAAGATAAAATTGGGAGAATAGCATAATCTGGATATAGGTACTTACCGATGCATTATTTTTATCATTATTGTCAAAAATGTAACATGGTACGGTATGGTTTGCATTTATACAGGGACAGTGTACAATAAACATTAGCCAAGAAGAGACATGCATTGTACCGGGTTGTAGCAGCAGTGCTAATTTACACCTGCACACACACACACACACACACACACACACACACACCCACACACACACACACGTCTCTTTGCATTGTTCCTCCAACCCTCCCTCTAACCCTCTACTTTCCCTTCTGTGTTTTCGCCTCAGCCATGCACCTCTTCGGCCTCAACTGGCAGCTGCAGGAGAGCGAGAGCTACGGCGCCTTCGAGAACGGCGGCGGGACTGCGCGCGACACCACTCCCAACACTATCATGGTGTCCACAGACAATGGTGAGTCCCGCACTTTATCTGGAGGCACCTGAAGGCACCACGCGCTCGGCCCAAAAGGGGATTGCCTCCTTTTTGAGGTCCCTCCATTTACATGAAACACATTCTGTCTCTAAAGCCGGGAACAAGAAAGTCATCGAGGTTCAGAGCAGGTGATGCGGCTGCTGCGCTGGGACAGATATTTCACACGTTTCTCAGAAGTTCACGGCACTTTTTTCGGGGTTCGTTTCCTTAGAAGAGTGTTTACCAAAAAGTGCAGGGAAACTTAGAAAAAAAAAAGGGTAAAAAAGTGGCTTTGAAGGGCTGTTAATGGGAGGTAAATTGTGTGTGTGGGAGAAAGGGTTTGTAATGTAAATGGTGGTGGTTTAAAAGCTGCGGTACTGGACTTTTTCTCAATTGAATTTAATGTTTTTGTTAATTTTTTGTGGCCGAGGACATTACACAGATGTCGATTCCTAAACAACAGATCAGAGAATTAAACCGTTTCAACACAAGAACCAAACACATAGGAGCCATGGGGAGTGGGTAGACCAACGATCATTTATATATTTTAGGCTTATTAATAGGAATCCGTTTTTGTAGTCTACAGTATCTACATATCATACATTTATCCATATATATCTCAGCATTTTTATTCATACATTGTTTTTTTTTATTTTTCATGTTGTTTGATTTATTAAATATTTAGTTTCTACACAAAGGCAACTTTTGGGCCTGTCTTGTTTTAGTGCAACCCTTTGACTGTTTGTTTATTGGATTAGTACATATATTTATAGATTATTTGTATCTAATTTTGCGCCGGGTTTCTGCTTTCTCCAGGACAGACAGACAGACCTTATTTATTTATCTATTTGACAGGGACATTGCATAATAAATGTATCGTTCAGACCGGACATAGCTGCTCTTGTCCATCTGTATTCCCCTGGGCAGAGGCACCTCCACAGTGGTTTTACAGATTGAGAAGAATGAATACATGCAACGACCTGGTTAGCATTTAAAATACAGGTAACAAGCTATACCCCTAACCATAAAAAAGCAGAAAATACTACAAAAAAATACTAAAAACACCTCATATTGTCGCATTGCTGTTTATTGTACATATAGGAAAGTATAATATTTGTGATTGTAGATGCTAAGATTTGCTAAAAATGCGACTAAAAAACGTAGTATTAAAAAAAAGTATTAAACGACACAGTCCCACTTCCCCGAATCCTCTGATATTTAAGAGTTTAAAATCCCTTTTCCTCCAGGACTGGATTTGTTCCCGAAAGTGGGTCACTCGCAAAAAAAAAAAAAAAATCTCTGTCAACTCACTTTTTTGCCTGTGTGTATGTTTGTGCCTATGACATGACACAGTAAAACAAATACACACTTTTACCAAAACCTCACGGTATATTCTGGAGTGATATAGTAAGGCTAAAAATAGGTTTAAAAATGGGTCACGTTGCAAAGTGGGCCACGGTCAGAACCACCTGAGAATGACTGACACATATTTACGTCACGTCATGTCTGTGGTGTTCTGTGTTATGTCTGGCTGGATGTGAACCCGAAATACGGTAAGAACTTCTGTTATTGCCGCAAACAAATGGGAATTATGTCCTGTATTGCACTCATTGTTATTAGTTATTAGCCAAAAAATCAAACGAGCTAAAGAAGTATTCATCAGATAATTTTGCCGTTTTGTGTCTGGAATTTTTTGCATTTTTGACAAACCGCAAAATGCCGTCTTTGTCGTATTGGAAAACCTTTTCAGATTCATTTAGAGTAAAACCACATTGGAATACATTTGCAAAAGTCCCCAGTGTGTTCAAGACAAGTACATAAATAAAGAAACAATTGACAGAAATCGATCGACTAAAATAGCTGAGGGAGGACTGGTTCCCGGAGGATCTTGATACATAGAACCTATTATTTTTGCGATTTATGGGAGGGCACAAAGACAGTGTCCCCGGTTTCAAAATATACAATAAAACAGGTTGCACAAAAGTTATAGAAGAAGAGGGTCCTTTATTCGTCCCACAGTGGGGAAATTCAAGTTTTTGATGAATAATAATAATATCAATACATCGGTTTTATATAGCACACACAAAACTAAAAATCTAAAAGCAGGAAAGAAGAGTTTGAAGTTGAAACTAAGAGTCATATGGTTGGAGGAAGAGGTGAGTTTTTAGCTGAGTTTAGTGAGTCCGAGTTTCTGAGATGAGGGGGAGAGAGTTCCAGAGAGTGGGAGCAGAGATGGCGAGAGCTCGGTCCCCCAAGTTTCGGTGCTTGGATTTGAGAGTGGGAGTGAGGAGATGTGAGTCTGCAGATCGGAGTCAACGGGAGGGGCTGTAGGGCTGTAGAAGTTCAGTGAGGTCTGGAGGAGGTTATGGAGGGCTTTGCAGGTGATGAGGAGGATTTTGAAATGGTTTGATGGGGAGCCAGTGGAGTTTGTGAAGGACAGGGGTGATGTGTTCTCTGGAGCGGGTCTGAGTGATGAGGCGGGCGGCAGAGTTTTGGACATAGAGCAGTTTTTGGAGATCAGATGAAGGAAGGCCGTATGCAGAAGTCGAATACACATACACACATCAAGGCAAGCAGAGAAGATTACTCCCATGCTCCTTATAGGCAAAGTGGATTAAGTGTCTTGTTGAAGGACAGAACGGAAGCAGACATCAGTGGAAGTCAGTGGAGAAGGTCTGATGTTGGGCTCGAACCCACAACCTTCAGGCTAAAAGGCCAATGTTCTACCAACTGAGCCACTGTAAGCAGGCAGGAAAATAATCAAAAATGTAATTATAAAACAGGCTGACAAACAGTAAATACCTGAAAAAAAATACGTGAAAAAAAAAAAAAAAACTAAAAACAACAAGGGAGAAAAGGTGGCCAAACCTGACACACATCTTTGGCTTCAATCCTGGTCTAAACAACACGCCTCCACAGCTGCGGTGGTGATTGAGTGTCAGCGTTGGAGTGGAGCTGGTGTTTGAAGGACAAACAGAGACTCAGGTGAAGTCTCTCCATCAAAGCCTCCTTCACCGCAGTCACGCCGCAAAAACGGGACTCTCGCCAAAACCTGCTGCGGTGACTGAGCTGCCACACGACCAGGAGGAGACCGAGGAGCGAGGCATTGTGTGTGGGGTCACGGTCTCTAAATACAGCGGTAGAATTCAATCTTCAAATCAGTTTTAATTCGATGTGTTTTTGTATAGCCCTAAATCACAACAGAACAATGCACTATTCAACAACAAAACACATAAATGAGACAAAATGCTAAATTAAAGGGTACATTTTATGATTATTTTGCTTTCTTTTGTTTAACCCAACAGTAAAAAAGGCTGAAAAAATTGTAGAATTGGGGAATTTGATGTGAATTTGCGAAAGTTTAGGTACCCCAGCTTTAAGGTAATATAAGTCATGTAGCCTCCTGATATCAAGAAATATTGGAATATGTGTTTACTTGATAATAAGAGAAAGAAAAAAAAATCGTAAAGTTACATTAAGTTGCTTTACTGTTATTTTTATATATTCAATTCAATTCAGCTTTATTACAGACTCTACGTCCAATTTAAAAAAAACATACATGTACAGACACATAAGACAAAAAAATAAAAATAACAAAAAAAGTTATGTATTTATCAATTTTTTTCTTTATTCTATTTATATATATATATACATATTTTATTATAATATATACACATTTTTTACAACTTTTTCTTTTTTGATATTGATAACACGAGTGAATGAATCCAATTGAGAGTTACACATCCAAAAGTGAGAGTTACACAGTGTGAGCGCTAAAACTACTCCTTCTTCCCGGTGAGTATTTCTGTCATTAGTCTCCGTCAGGTTTTTTATTTTCCCTTCACAAATTGGAGGTGACAAGCCCAGAATAAACCGCTCCGGCGAAATAATTGGTTGGAGTTTTTATCCTAATAGTTCACAGGGAAGAGCCCTCCAATCGAAAACGCTTCAACATGTGATTTTTCTAAGTGCTCCATCATGGGCTGTTGTTCCCAATAAACTTATCCTTTTTGCCGCGGGAATAAAAAAAAAGTTTTTTGAATGATTTTGGGGGGATTGGCGTTGTATGTTAAGATGATGATTAAGAGATTCTGGATTTGTCCCAGACATTTCAGTGTTGCACCACCAGTTAGAGAGGATTAATGAAATAACTCTATACTAAAATAACATAGAATACAACTTCAAGCTTTAGCATAGCATAAGAAGCAAGTATAAAATCGCTAACTTCAGCATAACATAAGAAGCAAGAATTAAATATAAAATCTCACTACACTATTTTGTTAGTTGTATATTTTGTGTTTGGTTTGGAAACATGGGTGGTCTGGACTAAAAAAACTCCTACATAGATATACATATATTTGCTTCTAACTGACTTTTTATATTGACTACAAATGATGACGAGTGAGAGGAGGTTGAATTAACAACTAACAATAATCTATTACATTAACGTGTTTCAAATTATATATATATTTTTTCATTCAATTACATTTATTTTTGTATAGGCCTAAATCACAACTGTAGACGTGTTTGTGGACTTCGCTGTCGATTCACCAACAGACAGATCAGAGAATCAAATGCAATGACAAGCAAAACATTGGTCCATGGGAGAGTGGGATGACCAATGTCCATAAATGGTCACTTCCTGTTACTTACATGGCCATAACAACAACAACAATGATTCTGATAAATGTCACTTCCTGTTACTTACATGGCCATAACAACAACAATGATTCTGATAAATGTCCATAAATGGTCACTTCCTGTTACTTACATGGCCATAACAACAACAATGATTCTGATAAATGTCCATAAATGGTCCCTTCCTGTTACTTACATGGCCATAACAACAACAACAATGATTCTGATAAATGTCCATAAATGGTCACTTCCTGTTACTTACATGGCCATAACAACAAAAAACACAAAATTATTCTGATAAATGTTAATAAATGTCCATTAATCATGACTTCCTGTTACTTACATGGCCATAACAACAACAA